ACTCGACGAAATCGAGGATATGATTAAAACTAATTTCCCGGAGGCATCTGTGGAACAGGTTCAATCAAAACATCCTGAAGAATATTCATCTTTTAAAGTTACTATTCTTCAGTCTAATTTCAAGAAAGCTTTAGATGTCAATATGTGGCCTAGGAATACCATTATAAACCATTTTTTCTACAAGAAAAAAGATATAACTCTAGTCACATAGAATTTTATCCTACACTTTTATTGTTGAATGTCCAGTGTCTTAATTTAGATAAGTTAAATGAGTTATGTATTTTTTTAAAAGATGTTAATAGTGTATGTTTTGTATGCCTAACGGAAACATGGGCTGTGGATGATTCTATTGAAAAGTTTTTAATTGATAATTTCTATTTGTCCAGTTTTTATTGTCGAACAAGGTACAAGGGCGGGGGAACAGCTATATTTTCTAAATCTGACGTTAGTAGTACCATGATTGATGTTTCGGATTTCTCGACAGAAAAAGACATAGAGCTGTGTGCCACAAAATTCAAGAATGGTAATACCTACATTATCATGATAGTATGTTATCGGTCTCCCTCAGGTAATATAAAAGCTTTCTGTGATAAGCTTAATGAAGTCTTAAGTTATGTATACAAACCTAGGCTTAAGTTAATTTTGTGTGGTGACTTCAACGTAGATTTTTATTCACCAAATTCTGAATTAGATAATCTAAAAAACGTACTGAACGAGTTCAACCTGTTTCCGATTATAGGGTGGCCAACGCGCATAGGTGGCACATCAGTCAAAACGATTGACCAAATATATGTAAATTTCTTCGACTTTTTTCAAAACTGAGTAGTCGACAATACCATCTCTGATCATCAAACAGTGCTGTCAGAATTAAGTGTGATCAACCAAACTCATGGGCCACAAGTTCTTGTCGAAAAAAGATCATACAACGATAAAAATATCAACAACTTTATATCCGATATATGTTCTGAAAATTGGACCAGTTTATACAACATGTCTGACATTGAATTAGCTTTCGATACTTTTTCTCAAATTTTCAACCACCATTTTCAAGTTAATTTTCCGCTGCGTAAACACTTGGTTAAAACGGCCCACAAAGACTGGGTTAATAATGAAGTAAAGGAATCCAGCAAACAACTCAAGGATTCCTATTTATTGTCAAAAATCATCCCAGATACTAAAGAGACATATCCTCATAAGAAAAAGAATCATCGAAATTTAGTAACTTCAGCAAAGCAACAATATTATCATAATAAAATATTCAAGTCTTCGAATCGTAATAGTCTGGAAGGTAGTATCCGAGTTAACAGATAATAAAAAGAGTCAAAGCAGTATAATTTTGGAGGATGCTGGTAACACATTAAGTAATACTCAGGATATAGTCAATAAATTCAATAACTATTTTAAAGATACTCCGTTAAACATTGTAAATAATATAAATCGGGCAAATATTGAAACCGTAAATTCGCGTCCCACTCATTGCCGGCAAATGCTTCTCTATCCATTTAACGATGAAGAGTTTTTCGACTTGATCTCTTCGAAATTGAAAAACAAACATTCCTCCGGACCAGATGGTATTCCGGGATTTCTTGTAAAAAAAGTACTAAAATATATAGTGAAACCATTTGTATTTCTAGTAAATCTCTCCTTTTGCACGGGAAGGTTTCCCCAATCCTTAAAAACTGGGAAGGTAATCTCAGTTCTTAAAAAAGGAGATCCTTCAAAGATTTCCAATTACAGACCAATAGCAGTTCCTTTCTGCTACTCCAAAATCTTTGAGTACTGCTTTCTAGATAGATTGTTGCGATTCCTAGAATCTGAAAATACTTTGTCAATTAACCAACGCGGTTTTCGCAACGGAAAATCGACTCACACGGCCTTGCTGAGTTTCATTCAGAATATTATAGCATCGATTGAGGCAGGCGAATGTCCTGTTGGGATATTTTGTGATCTCAGCAGGGCATTTGACTGCGTCAATCATGAGATACTTCTGGGCAGACTGGTTCAAGTCGGCATTGTTGGGACACCCTATAGCTGGATTAACTCCTTTCTATCCGATCGATCACAATATGTTTGTTTACGTGAAAACAGCAACAACATTATCACTGAGGTGAAATCTGATGTAACGTACGTAGACATCGGCGTACCTCAGGGATCGATTTTAGGGACTGTTCTTTTCATTCTTTACATAAATGAATTTGAGCACTCTTTCTCCCAAGCCAATTTCACGCTTTACGCGGATGATGCGGCAATCATATTGTCCAGCAAATCCAATCAAGTTTTAAAAGAAGACTGTGAACATTTATTAAACAGTGTTCGTGATTGGTTTAGCGCACATCATCTTCACCTGAATGTGGAGAAGACGGCAATGATGAGATTTCACAACGTGCACAAACAAATGACTCCGCTTGATCTTCGAGTTAAAGATAATCAACTAAGTGTTCTCAAAGAAACAAAATTCTTGGGTTTGTGGTTGGACGAATGTTTCAATTTCAAGGCCCAGTGTGATCGATTGGTATCCAGGTTGAACTCACAGTCATATGTGTATAAAGTTCTACGAGTCACATTGACTGGAGACCAGTTAGTAACACTCTATTATGCTCAGGTAGAGCCTAGGCTGAAATATGGTTTGTGCTTCTGGGGAGTATCGACCAATGCACAACATGTCTTTCTAAGTCAGAGAAGAATTCTAAGATCTATGGCCGGAGTAAGCTCATTACATAGCTGTAGGGAGCTGTTCCAAAAGTACCAAATTTTAATGTTGCCTTCTCTATTTGAATACGAACTTTCAATATATATGTATCAAAATAAGGATACACAACTACTTAACAAGGATATAAATGCCTTCATAACAAGGCAGAGTGAAAATATGTATGTTCCTGTCGCCAAATACTGTGTCGGTAGTAGGTCACCTAGAGTTTTGGGGCCTAAAATATATAATAAATTGCCAGAAGAAATAAAAATCTGCAGTTCACTGCAACATTTTAAAAATAGGTTAAAGGCTTTTTTATTAAATAAATGTTTGTACGCTGTTTCGGAGTTTGTTAATGTGTAGATGGTATATTTGTTTCTCATATTTGTTTGTTACTTATTTTCCATGTTTGTTATGGATTTTTTTATTTTTGACGAATCCTATGCATACTTATGACTATTGGATAATAAAGGATTATTATTATTATTATTATTATTATTATTATTATTATTATTATTATGTGGTCAATAAATGGTATGGTATGGTATATTATTATCATTATCGTTATCGTTATCGCTATCATTATCGTTATCGTTGTCGTTGTCGTTGTCGTTGTCGTTGTCGTTGTCGTTGTCGGCGTCGTCGTCGTCTTCGTCGTTATCGTTATCGTTATCGTTATCGTTCTCATTATAATTATCATTATCATTATCATTATCATTATCATTATCGTTATCATTATCATTATCATTATCATTATCATTATCATTATCATTATCATTATCATTATCATTATCATTATCGTTATCGTTATCGTTATCGTTATCGTTATCGTTATCGTTATCGTTATCATTATCATTATCATTATCATTATCATTATCATTATCATTATCATTATCATTATCATTATCATTATCATTATCATTATCATTATCATTATCATTATCATTATCATTATGATTATGATTATCATTATCATTATCATTATCATTATCATTATCATTATCATTATCATTATCATTATCATTATCATTATCAATATCATTATCATTATCATTATCATTACCATTACCATTACCATTATCATCGTTATCGTTATCGTTATCGTTGTCATTTATCATTTATCGTTTATCGTTTATCGTTTATCGTTTATCGTTTATCGTTTATCGTTTATCGTTTATCGTTTATCGTTTATCGTTTATCGTTTATCGTTTATCGTTTATCGTTTATCGGTTATCGTTTGTCGTTTGTCGTTTGTCATTTGTCGTTTGTCGTTTGTCGTTTGTCGTTTGTCGTTTGTCGTTTGTCGTTTGTCGTTTGTCGTTTGTCGTTTGTCGTTTGTCGTTTGTCGTTTGTCGTTTGTCGTTTGTCGTTTGTCGTTTGTCGTTTGTCGTTTGTCGTTTATCGTTTATCGTTTATCGTTTATCGTTTATCGATTTATCCCCCTTCAACGAAGACTATTGTAACTCAATTTTGATTGAACTGGGATATAAGCATTTGAAAATTACTTTCTAATTTCGATCGAAGAGAAATAATAATCTCTATCCGATGCATCTTGCAGATACTATCAATTATTTTACATCAAGGGTTATGAACGATATTACAATACAAAGTTATCAAAAAAAATATTTTTGGAAAAATTTTGAAGACTTACTATAGTTTTCGTTGGATCAATTAAGGAAAAAAACACACATACTGTAGACGTAGTAAGATATTTATTGAAATAATACAGTATGTTTTAATATTGTCAATTTGAGTCACTCAAATTATTCTCATCTCCATGTTCATCTTCACTATCATCGTTCTCAACTTGTGTATTTTCAGTATTCTGACGTCTTTGTGTTATTTCTTTAGCTTTTAGGGAAAATAAAAAGCATGGTAAGCTTCAGGGATGCTTGGAAGACTGTTTGATTTTGGTTTACATAGATCGAGTAAACCACTTAATTTTTTAGCATCTACTGGAAGCAAGCTTGTATATAGTAAAGGTAACTCCTGAGGTGAATTTTCCTTCATTCTCCTTCTTCGATTTCTCCTCAATTTTATTATACTGAGCTCATCAGCATAGTCATACTTGAATTTCATTTCATAAGGCATGTCTGAGGAGAGGTGTACCTCCCTTAATTTACTAATTTTCAGCTTTTCTCCGGAATCGTCTTTACTCCAGTTTTCCGAATTTACCTTTGACTTGAAACTAAAAAAATCCTTCTGAGACATCTCTTTCACGATGTATGGTCTTCCGGTTACTTTCGCCATGCGAATCAACATAATCCATTGATCGGGGGTATAAATTGCCGATTGCCGCTTTTTGGCATTTTCAATGACGGCGTGCATACTGTCCCCTTCGTTTTGTGTGTGACCTGTTTCTAGGAATCGATGGATTATCTGTAGATTCAGAGCCATAGAAGCATATGAAAACATCGAAAAAATGAAGCGGTTACGGTTTTGTCCACCGCAGTTGTCCGAGTAAAGAATAACTTTGTTTATCCCTTTCTCTTTTTGCTTTTTCAAAAAGTTTAAAATACAGCTGCTTATTTCGTTTGGCCCTCTCTTCGCAATTACTTCATGCGAAACGTAACAATAGCCTTCATGATTTCCCATGTCGTAAATGGTAAAGTTGTATGTGGCGAGTTTACTTTTGTAATAGAAGTCGCTTACAGCAGATTGGGGTGTCACCAGAACTTTTTGTAAGTCGAAGCACGCTGCGCTAATTGTCTTGTCATTGATTGCAGTTTCTTTATCTTCATCTTTTAAAGCTCTAGCAGCTTTCTTATTAGAAACGTGTTTTTCATACTTCTCTTGTATTTTCTGCTTATCTGGCGAAGTTGCTAGTTGATAGGCTACACAGAGACTGCATTGGGCCTTCTTTGGTTTATGGAATGCTAAATTGAACTCGGCATTGATAACTTCTCTGTATTGTCTTAAAGTTTCTACTTCTGTAGCATTTCTCTGTTCCATGTACTTTAAGTAGAGGCGATGCATAATTGAAATGTTGAGACCATCCTCTAAGTACATCTTTGTTGATTTTTTCCTGGTATAGTGGGAAGGCACCACAGGAAAGAGTTGAATGTGCTCTCTTATCCCATTTAAGACACCTCCGTCAATTTTATTTGGTCTTGTCAGGTGCTTCCCTCGACGATCTTCTTCAAGAGTGCCAGTTTCTCCAATTTTTCCTAGAGCAGTCGTCACCCACTGCTCTGATATTCCATAGGTGTTCAGGAACATAGTTTTACAAACCGTTATTTCCTTGTTGTTGACAAGAAGCTGGTATGTTCTAGAATGATTTCGTCTTGATTTGCTATCTGTCCGTTTTACGTGCTTCTTCTCCACTGTTTTGACATACCTAACTATGTAATCCCATCTAGAATGATCACCTATTTTCCAAAACTCCTCGAACAATGCTTTTCTCTCTTCCTCACTTATTTTTTGACGACATTTATTTCTGCAGCTTTCTTTACATGGATTCTTTATCTGTTTGGCGGGAATAATTGTACCTTTCCGGTTTTTATGTTCGATGCCCAAGTTTAATTCCTTCTTAGCTCGAACATCAATCCACTCATTTGTATTTTTTACACGTTTTCTGCCTTTCCTTTCTTTGGGCGTTATCTTACGCTTTTTAGGCACCTGAATTCGGTTTTTGGTTTCATGAGGTATAAATGGCACAATAGATGAATCAGAATCTGTTGTTTCTTCGGGTACATAAATAGGATCAATATCCGAGTCGTCTGAGAAATTTCCTTCCGTATTCGTAATGTCATGAGGTGTATCAAGAAGTACTACTGATGGATCTGTTTGTACAAAATTAAATCCAACTTCTATAGGGTCCTCTGCAGGGTGGTTGCTGGAAGCAACAGCTGTATCAGGCAAAGGGGCTCGCACATCCTGTACATTGACTACTGCACCAGCATACGCAGATTCCGTAATAAGACAGTTATCTGCACCTACAAAAATAAATACCTGTAAGAATCTATAAGTTGGAGAGAAAAATCAATGTAGGTATAACATGATTCCAATGCATAACAGGCAAATGTGGATACTAAGCATGAACCAGAAAGAAAGAATTAATTTCCCATGTTAGAAAATAATAAAATAATTACAAGACAAACTTACCTGAACCTGATGCATCATTTAGCTTCTTTGCATTTTCCAAAATGACTTTGGTCCTAGAATTCATTCTAGTTCTCTATATTTATCTATTTTCAGACAGCTACTACTTAAAACGTTTTGGGTTTAAATAATCATAACCTCGAATTATACCGCGAAGATTATAGTATGTCCAAACATAGAATGCCTACCGCGATTTTTTGCATCGAAAACTATAGTAACTCAACTTGATGTACTTTTCGCTGACAGCAATGTGAGTGATTATACTTACTATAATTCACGAAAGTTATACTGGTTGCCTATGGTTTCATAATTGAGATACTATATTCTTCCTCGAACGAGAAGCATAATATATCTATCGATACCTTATAGTAAGTCAAAAGTAAGGATTTTTGAGTTACTATAGTCTTCGTTGCAGGGGTCGGTTTGTCGTTTGTCGTTTGTCGTTTGTCGTTTGTCGTTTGTCGTTTATCGTTTGTCGTTTATCGTTTATCGTTTGTCGTTTGTCGTTTGTCGTTTGTCGTTTGTCGTTTATCGTTTATCGTTTATCGTTTATCGTTTATCGTTTATCGTTTATCGTTTATCGTTTATCGTTTATCGTTTATCGTTTATCGTTTATCGTTTATCGTTTATCGTTTATCGTTTATCGTTTATCGTTTATCGTTTATCGTTTATCGTTTATCGTTTATCGTTTATCGTTTATCGTTTATCGTTTATCGTTTATCGTTTATCGTTTATCGTTTATCGTTTATCGTTTATCGTTTATCGTTTATCGTTTATCGTTTATCGTTTATCGTTTATCGTTTATCGTTTATCGTTTATCGTTTATCGTTTATCGTTTATCGTTTATCGTTTATCGTTTATCGTTTATCGTTTATCGTTTATCGTTTATCGTTTATCATTTATCATTATCATCATTATCTTTATCATTATCATTATCATTATTATTATCATTATCATTATCATTATCATTGGCATTATCATTTTTTTTTGTTTAGAGAGAAGGAAGTGTACCTACCGCACGCAAGGGCACATTGCCGGCTGGGCAACTCGACAATGCATCGCTACAGTGTGAGGCTCTCATTCACTAAAACCTCCTCTTTTTTTCTAACCGTGTTCCATCTACGGTACTACCTTGCGGCTTTACCCATCATAGATGGGGTCCCTTGTGCCGCCTTTAGTGGCTTCAGCTGCAATCGATTCTGCTTATTCCACTTTAGCCATCTAGGGAAGTTGTGACAGTGTCCTGTTCTCCCCTTCATTATCATTATCATTATCATTATTATCATTATTATCAATTATTATCATTATTATTATCATTTTTCTTGTTTTGTTTAGAGAGAAGGAAATGTACCTACCGCACGCAACGGCGCATTGCCGGCTGGGCAACTGGACAATGCATCGCTACAGTGTGAGGCTCGCACTCACTAAAACCTCCTGTTTTTCTCTAGACCGTGTTCCATCTACGGTACTACCTTGCGGCTTTATCCATCATCGATGGGGTCCCTTGTGCCGCCTTTATTGTGGCTTCAGCTACAATCGATTCTGCTTATTCGATTTTAGCCATCTAGGGAAGTTGTGACAGTGTCCTATGCTCCCCTTCCATCTGTTTCTTTCTGTTTCATTAAGTTAGTAATGAAAGACTCAATGAGATTCCAGTTTTTATCTGATTTGAGCAATAGTGGAACCATGGTATTTGCTGCTATCGCTGAGTTAACAGTCTGCGCAAGAGTTCGTCTCTGCTGTGCCCATTTTTCGCATACGAAGAGCGTATGGTTTGCGTCATCCACAGAAGCATCGCAGTATCTACACCCTTCGTCTTCGTGCAGTCTAAATCTTTTCAGGTAAGCGTTAAAGCAGCCGTGCCCCGATAACGCTTGCGCCAAGTAAAAACCGACCTCTCCGTGGCTCCTCTCGACCCACTTGGTAATTTTTGGTATTAATTTGGACGTCCACCTGCCGACAGAGTCCTCGCGCCATCGCCTCTGCCAGTTCTCCATCAGTAAGTATCTTGCCTCATTCCGAATCGTCTCCTTGAAGTGTGCATCTTCCCTTGGTCGTGTTGCTTCCAACTCTTTTTTACGATTGTAGACATATTCCTCATTATTATCATTATCATTATTATCATTATTATCATTATTATCATTATTATCATTATTACCATTATTATCATTATTATCATTATTATCATTATTATCATTATTACCATTATTATCATTATTATCATTATTATCATTATTATCATTATTACCATTATTATCATTATTATCATTATTATCATTATTATCATTATTATCATTATTATCATTATTATCATTATTATCATTATTATCATTATTATCATTATTATCATTATTATCATTATTATCATTATTATCATTATTATCATTATTATCATTATTATCATTATTATCATTATTATCATTATTATCATTATTATCATTATTATTATCATTATTATCATTATTATCATTTTTTTTGTTTAGAGAGAAGGAAATGTACCTACCGCACGCAACGGCGCATTGCCGGCTGGGCAACTCGACAATGCATCGCTACAGTGTGAGGCTCGCACTCACTAAAACCTCCTCTTTTTTTCTAGACCGTGTTCCATCTACGGTACTACCTTGCGGCTTTATCCATCATAGATGTGTTGTGCCGCCTTTATTGTGGCTTCAGCTACAATCGATTCTGCTTATTCCATTTTAGCCATCTAGGGAAGTTGTGACAGTGTCCTATTCTCCCCTTCCATCTGTTTCTTTCTGTTTCATTATGTTAGTAATGAAAGACTCAATGAGATTCCAGTTTTTATCTGATTTGAGCAATAGTGGAACCATGGTATTTGCTGCTATCGCTGAGTTAACAGTCTGCGCAAGAGTTCGTCTCAGCTGTGCCCATTTTTCGCATACGAAGAGCGTCATCCACAGAAGCATCGCAGTATCTACACCCTTCGTCTTCGGGCAGTCTAAATCTTTTCAGGTAAGGGTTAAAGCAGCCGTGCCCCGATAACGCTTGCGCCAAGTAAAAACCGACCTCTCCGTGGCTCCTCTCGACCCACTTGGTAATTTTTGGTATTAATTTGTACGTCCACCTGCCGACAGAGTCCTCGCGCCATCGCCTCTGCCAGTTCTCCATCAGTAAATATCTTGCCTCATTCCGAATCGTCTCCTTGGAGTGTGCATCTTCCCGGATAGGTCGTGTTGCTTCCAACTCTTTTTTACGATTGTAGACATATTCCCTTTCCTGTGCTAAAAGATCTATAGGGGGAACTCCCGCAAGGACTAAGACCGCACTTGTTGATGCTGTCCTGTACGCTGATACGATCCTAAGTACCGCGCAGCGCTGTGCAGTCAAGAGCTTCGCCCGTATTGTATGGTTAAGTGCTGAGGACCATACTGGTGCTGCATAGAGAAGCTTTGAGTGTACAACGCTTGCCAGCAGCTTTCGCTTGGATGCTCGTGGCCCTCCAATGTTCGGCATAAGTCTTGACAGGCTTGCGGCACATTTTATTGCACCTAGAGTAGCCCTTTGGATGTGTGCGCCAAACTTCAGTCTCCTGTCAAGCTCAACACCCAGGTATGTTATCTACCTTTTCCACTCTAGGCGGTAGCCATCTATCTCGATAGCGGGATTTTGGTACGATCTCCTATCGGTAACGAGCAAAGCCTCAGACTTGTCTAGTGCCATTTGCAGGCCTCTGCACTCCATCCAACACCTTGCTCTTGACAGACTAACATTTACTTTTATTCCTAGTACTTCTACACTGGCGGCAGCGGAGACAATAATTGCATCGTCAGCGAAGCCAACAATAGATGTGTCTTCTGGGAGTTCCATTCGTAGGAAATCATCATACATAACGTTCCAGAGAAGAGGGCCTATCCTCGATCCCTGTGGTGCGCCGCAAGTCATTTGCTCGCACATCGACCATGTTTCCGTATCATAGGTTATCCATCTGTCACTCATATAATTCACTATCATTCTTAATATGTAGGAAGGGACCTTATTGCGTGCCAGGGAATCGATGACTATGTGCCATCTTGCGGAGTTGAAGGCATTTCGGATATCTATTGCGACGAGTGCACAGAATCCTTTTCGCTTGCCTGAACTTTCTACAGCCATTGCTTTCCGTGCTTTCTCCACTACGAGTCCAGGCTTCCAGTAGCAAAGGATCTCCTCTCGAGCGGGTGTGTCTCCTCCTAGCAGCTAGACAATCGGTGCGTAGACGAGAAATTTCTTCATTCCGCCAGTAGAGCGACCGCCTTTTAAGACCTGGGAGCTTTCGTCTTGGCATAGAAGAATTACAAGCTGCAACTATCTGCTGCCTAACACTGGTTACAGCTTCGTCCAGGGAGCAAGGTCTTCTTTCCCAGCCTAACTCATAAAAAGTTTTGGTTTCCAAAAGGAACTTCTTGAGTCGTTGCTCATCGAGTCTACTTGTATTCCACAAAGGGCGTTTTAAGGGTTGCGATGAGGCAAAGGCCTCGCTTCTTGATGTGTCATCAGTTATTGTGAATTCTATATACTGGAGATCGCTTAATGTTTCGTCTTCCAATACCTTCCAATATTGAATTCGTTGGGCTATTCGTGGACTTGCTATGGTTATGTCTATCACAGAACCTGGATTACCACGTCTGAAGGTAAGGCTTCCTCCTTCGTTTAACACAGTGAGATCGTTCCTTGACACCACTTCACTCAGGAGAGTACCTCTTCTATCTAACCTAGTATCTCCCCATTCCGGGGATTTACTGTTGAAGTCGCCTGCTATCAGGACAGGACTCCTAGAATCATTCAAGCTCTCTTCCAGAGCACAAATCTCCGAGTTGAATTCTGAAAAAGAATCATTTGGAGAAAAGTAGCAACTATAAACACGGATCCCCGCGATCTCTACCCATAGAAAGCCCTGGTCTGTCTCCAAGAATTCCTTGACATCAACGTTGAGATTGCAAACTTGTATACCGGCTCTCCCCGTTGCATCTTGGTACCAGGTTGGAGTATCTGTCGTCCTATATTGCTCACAGAAAACCAATACGTCGACATTTCTTTCTCTGGCTACCTGCATCAGGAGGTGCTGTGCATCCCTTCCTCTCCCAAGATTTATTTGCAGGAACCTCATCAATTCTGTTCGATAAATCGGACAAGAACTACTTGCGGCGGCGTGCTGGAAATCGGTTTTACCCATATCCAGGCAGGTAACACATTTCGGGGCCTCTTGACATGCTTTGGCGAAGTGTCCTGTGGCTCCACATTTCCAACAAGCGGTGCGTCTCTCAGGCTTTTCACAACCTTTTGCAATATGTCCAAATCCCAAGCATCTATGACATCTCGTCACTTCTACATGCTCTCGTATCCTGCAGTTCACCCAGCCAATATGAACCCAGCAAGTGTTCTGCGTCTAATTCCGAAGTCTTGACAAGTGCTACCCTCAGGCCGTCACGTCGAGAAAATAGGCGACAATTCATGTCCACTGCGTCCTTGTCAAGTTTCTGGTGGAGTGCGTTGATAACTTCCTCTACCGTAACGGTTTCATCCAAGTCTCTTAGCTCTAAGGTCTTGAACGAGGTTAGACTTTTGACTTCGGCCTTTTCCTTTACCGCCTCTGCCAGAGCGTGGGCAAACTCAGAAGCCTTTCCGCCTTTTTTAAGGACAAACAGCATATCATTGTCCCTTGTTCTTCTAATGGACAAGATCTCTGTCTCAGTTTCGGCTGGATTTTCATAGTCTTCAGGATGTCTGCAAAAGACTCTCCTTCTTTCGCAGTGACTTTGATTGCTTCTGACGTTCTGCGCTTACGTGTTCTCTTTGAAGGCGCCGCTCTGCCCTCCTTGTCCGCTTTATGCTCTTTGCTTGCGGCTTTCTCCTTTCTTTTCTCTTTCTGTACTTTCCTTTTTTCTTTCTTTCGATTGGTAACCACTTGGAAGCCTTCTTCGTTGTTACCTTGCTCGTGGTGGTCCTGACTTTGCCCCGGAGACGCCTTTGACGCTGGTTGACTGAGCGTGTCAGTTTTGCCTTTCTTTGGATCCCTCTTTTCCTCAGGTGTTCTGGATGCCTCCCTTTTTTCGCCTCTGGGCCGAACTATCGCAGTGCCAGTGGATGCTGCTCTAGGGCGGTACCTTAAACTTTCACGAGGGGAGATTGCCAGTTCCTTCTGGAAACTCTCACCCCTTCCCTTAAGGTCCTTGGTCAGTGAAGTTAAGTTATTAACCAAGTGAAAAGCCTTCTCTACTCCTATCTTGACGTCTTGTGGGTTATTCTTCAACATCCGTCCTCGAACACCCGACAATGCCTCTTGTAATGATTCCAGCAAAAGGTTCTGTTTCTCCATCATCAGCAGGAATGACTTCCAGTTTTCCGCCCATGAGGGCGCACTCATGAATATATGTTCTCCTGAACTAGTGCCTCCGTATGAAGACCTAGTAGCATCTTCTGTGCTAATACAATTAGCTTCTTCTTTTCCATGGGACAATTCACTAATGTCTGATACTTCCAATTTCTGTGTCAATACGGGCACTTTTGGCGAAGATGGTGGTGTTCGTCTTTTAGCAAACGCGGTGTCTACATCACTCTTTTTCTTTCCTGGTGCGACTGACGTCAAGTGCTCCCCCCCCCAGAATCCAGGGAGCTGACTGCCGGAGCAGCACGGGATTGTTACCATACTGCTCTACCCGCCTGGGGTACCATTTCCTTGTTTTGACCTGACATCTTTGAAAGTTTTGGCCTATTTTCTTTGAGGAGTGGAGGAAGAATTCTAAGCCGATAACACCTCCGGTAGGATAGGATTGGATATAAAAAAAAACGGGAAAACGGGAAAAAACGAAGGAAAACGAAAGGACAGCCCAAGGTTTAGCAGAATATAAAATAAACTACCAAACCCCGGACTCCCTGCCTGGGGCCGTGGGGGCGACGCTCCCCATATATATCTTCCCTTAAAACCGGGTTAGAAACCCAGCCTTAAAAGTAGATACCCCCTGCGGGGAGCGCTATTATTTATATTTCATTATTTAGCATATTATCATTATTATCAGTATTATCATTATGAGCAATAGGATCATTATGATCATATTATCATTATTAATCATTAGTATCATTAGATCATTATATCATTATTATCATTATGATCATTATTATCATTATTATCATTATATCATTATGTATCCATTATTATCATTATATCATTATGATCAGATTACATGATTTATCATTATTATCATTATTATCATTATTAGCATTATTATCATGATTACAATTATTATCATTATTATAAGTATTAGCATTATTAGCATTATTAATCATTATTTCATTATTATCATTATTATCATGATATTCATATTATCATTATTTCATATATTATCAGTATATCATATATCAGGCAGTAGCATTATAATAGTAGTATCATTATACAATTACATATTATCATATTACATTATTATCATTTATCATATATCATTATTATCAGTATTATCAGTATTATCATATTATCATTATTATCATTATTATCATTATTATCATTATTATCATTATTATCATATATCATTATTATCATTATTATCATTATTATCATTATTATCATTATTATCATTATTATCATTATATCATTATTACCATTATTATCATATTATCATTATTATCATTATTATCATTATTATCATTATTATCATTATTATCATTATTATCATTATTATCACTATTATCATTATATCATTATTATCAGTATTATCATTATGATCAGTATTATCATTATTCATTATTATCATTATTATCATTATTAGCATTATTATCATTATTATCATATTATCATTATTATCATTATTATCATTATTATTATTATCATTATTAGCATTATTATCATTATCATTATTATCATAATCATTATTATCATTATATCATTATTATCATTATTATCATTATTATCATATTATCATTATTATCATTATTATCATTATATCATTATTATCATTATTATCATTATTATCATTATTATCATTATATCATTATTATCATTATTATCATTATTATCATTATATCATTATTATCATTATTATCATTATTATCATATTATCATTATTATCATTATTATCATTATTATCATTATTAATTCATTAGTATCATTATTATCATTATTATCATTATTATCATTATTATCATTATTATCATTATTATCATTATTATCATTATTATCATTATTATCATTATTATCATTATTATCATTATTATCATTATTATCAGATATCATTATTATCATTATTATCATTATTATCATTATTATCATTATTATCATTATTATCATTATATCATTATTATCATTATTACATTATTATCATTATTATCATTATTATCATTATTATCATATATCATTAATCATTATTATCATTATTACATATTATCATTATTATCATTAATCATTATTATCATTATTATCATATTATCATTATTGTCATTGTTATCATTATTATCATCGTTATCGTTGTCGTTGTCGTTGTCGATCGTTGTCGTTGTCGTTGTCGGCGTTGTCGTTGTCGTTGTCGTTGTCGTTGTCGTTGTCGTTGTCGTTGTCGTTGTCGTTGTCGTTGTCGTTGTCGTTGTCGTTGTCGTTGTCGTTGTCGTTGTCGTTGTCGTTGTCGTTGTCGTTGTCGTTGTCGTTGTCTTTAACGTTGTCGTTGTCGATGTCGTTGTCGTTGTCGTTGTCGTTGTCGTTGTCGTTGTCGGTCGTTGTCGTTGTCGTTGTCGTTGTCGTTGTCGTTGTCGTTTCGTTGTCGTTGTCGTTGTCGTTGTCGTTGTCGTTGTGTCGTTGTCGTTGTCGTTGTCGTTGTCGTTGTCGTTGTCGTTGTCGTTGTCGTCGTTGTCGTTGTCGTTGTCGTTGTCGTTGTCGTTGTCGTTGTCGTTGTCGTTGTCGTTGTCGTTGTCGTTGTCGTTGTCGTTGTCGTTGTCGTTGTCGTTGTCGTTGTCGTTGTCGTTGTCGTTGTCGTTGTCGTTTGTCGTTGTCGTTGTCGTTTGTCGTTGTCGTTGTCGTTGTCGTTGTCGTTGTCGTTGTCGTTGTCGTTGTCGTTGTCGTTGTCGTTGTCGTTGTCGTTGTCGTTCGTTGTCGTTGTCGTTATCGTTGTCGTTGTCATTGTCGTCATTGTCATTGTCGTAGTCATTGTCATTGTCATTGTCATTGTCATTGTAATTGTCATTGTCATTGTCATTGCCATTGTCATTGTCATTGTCATTGTCATTGTCATTGTCATTGTCATGTCATTGTCATTGTCATTGTCATTGTCATTGTTATTGTCATCGTCATGGTCATTGTCATTGTCATTGTCATTGTCATTGTCATTGTCATTGTCATTGTCATTGTCATTATCATTTCATTATCATTATCATTATCATTATCATTATCATTATCATTATCATTATCATTATCTTATCATTATCATTATCATTATCATTATAATTGTCATTGTCATTGTCATTATCATTATCATTATCATTGTCATTGCCATTGTCATTGTCATTGTCATTATCATTATCATAATCATTATTATTATTACTACTAGCTGACCCGACAGTCGTTGTCCTGTCTTAGCTATGAACTGTGATGAATGGTGAATAATGAAAAAGTAAATATTTGGAATTTAGGTAATTGCATTGCGAAGTGTTTGTGCCGCCATGTGGCACAATGACATCCCCCCCATCAACTTAACTTGAAAGTAGGCATAAAATTATATCGACTGAGTTTTGTTGCGCCAAATGACGTCATTTGAAAGCAATTATTGTATTGCTGGATATGAGCCAAAAAATGTATAGAATGTGGCTCATTTCCGGAAACCAATGAATGTTATTGCTATGGTAGTGGTACCGATGGAGTCAATTTGACTTTTCCACTAGCGCAACATGATCCGGGGGTTCATTTTTAAACATGAAAGCCTTGCAATGTGGACACAACGTTCCTTGGTCCAATAGCAACGATTCGTTGTTAACTGTAATCGATTGCCACGTCATAATTCAATTCAGATCGATTGGGATTAAATGTTGCACTTCTACGTTCTACCTTTCGCAGACATCCTGTAGATATAGACTGTTATTATCATATGCTTCTCCAATCAATATAGATTTTTTTCAGGTACAGTGCTGCCTTCAGCCGGCGTTGGTCTGAAACTGACGAGCATGGATGTGCCGGCTGTTGCGGATCCCCGCGGCGACGCCACCCTAGAATGCCAGTTCGACATGGGCGGAGAGGAGCTGTACGCTGTCAAGTGGTATAAGGACGATCAAGAGTTCTTCAGGTAAGCACATCGACCACACCGTCGTCAGTATACTGCTAATCCACGTGCCCTCGATGTCTAGTAGGCTAGCTAGTGGAAGAGCATCCTTATGTTCACAATAAAGGAAACAAAGCAAATTGAAAGGGCGAGGTGGGACAGACTACAAAGGAAATGTATCGTGGTGTCGAGAAAGTATTTTAATGTGGATTGACGTAATTTTTTGTATGCTGTCTTCTTATAGTTTTGGTTGAATCAATGCATTTTTGTTGTCAAAGAGCGAAACACAGGGGCACAGACGGCTGTATTGTCTCCAAGTTACGAATAAGCAGCAAGAATACATAAAAGTCCTAAATCGTGCTGGATCAACTTAATATGTGTCACAGCTTACATTATACATATTCACTGTTATGTCAGCATGACGCGGTTCAGATGAGGGCCATCCGACAGATGCATAACGCTTAATTGGGGAATCAAAATTTGCGTGTATAGTACAAACCGGACCAATGAGAAGTCATCTTAGTAGTAGCGAATAGATCTTATGAATTTGCTCGATTTTTTCAAAATGTCTCTTAGGCTAGCGAAAAGTTTTTTGGTTTGTCCAAGACGGGTCCCAAATTCTCAAAATTGATCAAAAATGCTTCATAAATTACCTGGTTCAGCTACAAAAACCTATTCTTCATTTATTTGTATCCGAACACAAAAGTTGACGCAAAGTCCGCCAATCAAAAAGGATTTGTGGCCTACTCCAAACGAGGATCAAACGTGTTACTAAAGACTGTGTGACAATAGATTGGCATGACGCCTTTACTGAAATTTGGAAATAACAGTATGTCACTGTTGCTGTACAAAGATCTGCTTTTGATAAATCCTTTGAGGACATAAATAACATCACAGAATGGTGATTCTTTAACAAACATCGAATAAATAATCTATTTACTTACCTACTATTAACTGGAATATGTCGCGCACTCTACCGGACGGTAGAACATTTTATTGAAAATAACAATGTTACTACTTGCCTGAGAGAAATACTTCTGAAAAAGATATATTTTTAACAATTTATGTCCTTTGAAGTTAGCCACAATAACCTACGTTTTCTCTTTATAGGTATCAGGCCAGTCAAACTAGATCATTGATGTTCCTCATTACTGAACGAAATACTGCTTAAGACATTAATAAGGTATTAGAACGTTTATTATTTAACAAGCATCGAGTAAATACTCAAGTTAGGGCCGATTTCAGAATCTCACAAACAGTTATTTTCGACCAATAGGGTACGACTACCAAACAAACAGTCAAATATACCCAATGAGCCTCAGGATCTCTCCGACAGATTCTTAACAGCAAATTGCATCAAAGTATCCAAAACAAAACACTGTAAAATATGAAGTGATGGCTTGTCATTGTATAAAATTGAGCCAAAATTTAAAAAAATGCTTGATGTCTGAGTAAAATCTATTTCTTTTCAATTAAGCTGCAGGTTTCTCCATGTTTATTACAACTTTTGTAATCTATATGTGATTATACTAGGTTAACATCACCTACCGTATGTTTATAGTTTATCCAACATTTTTCAAACTTGCACTTCCAAACCCCTATATGAGAAAGCCTGTTCACTCAAATTTTTGTTAGGTTTTGCGTTTCAACATATTCATACACTTCTCCTCAATCCCTCAACGACATTTTGACACCTCTGGTCCGAAACTGTTCAATATTTCCAAAATCCATACATTCAATTACAGTTGACCTTTTTGGTTTTCATTCACTGTGGTTCCCAGTCGCACCATCTTTATAGCAATTTCTTTATAGCATCATGGAAGAGGGCTCTCAGGAGCAAAGCACGTTGGTGTAGCGGTAGAAGAGAACTTGATCGCCGACGGCCGCCGGTGTGAAATAGTCCCGAGACTGTTTGTTAGAGAAGAGTCAGCGATCAGTCGGACAGCCCTTCTCTGGACAACATCGAGCATAGATAATATAGTCGGGTCGGCGGTACCCCAAACAGACTAGGCCTTTTCTGGGCTTTGTATAGAGTGAGAAGGTCAAGCGGAAGTACTTCTTAGCCCGAAACAAATAGCCTAGCTTTTTCCCAGCAGCTGCCGCTACTGACAAGATATGTTCGTGCCAGATCAAGTCCTCGGTGATCTGGACTACGGCCAGCCTAAATGAACGGCCCTTTGGCAGAACCCAGCCATCCATCGGAACCGTATGAGCGCTAGGACGCTTTCTCTTCGTCATGGTACAGTACTGTATTTTGGAAGCATTACATTTTACAAGATTGGTGCGTCCCCATGCAGTGATAACCTCCAGGTCTCTCGTCAGAGAGGGAGTCTTCGCTAATCTTCTTTTTTCCAGCTCAGCTGCAGAGATTGCCTAGTCACTCTCAATTCCTGCATGTAGATTGCTGTCATCAGCGAAGCTGTGGATTATGTTGAACGTACAGGGAAGGAGGTCACTGATATGCAAGAAGAACCGTGTCGGAGCCAATGGGATGCCCTTTTGAACACCCGCGTTGACCTTGCGGCCAGAGAGAAAGTCAGCCACCTATCTGCAAAGCTTTTTTGGGAGGCCATAGGATGGAAGTTTGCATAAGAGGCCAGCGTGCCACAGCTGAACGAACGCTTCGGTGATGTTAAGGGCAACGACATGAGCTTCACTATAAGACTGGATGTGTTCACTCCACAATTGCGTGACGTAAGCTAGGAGGTCCCCTGTGGATCGCTGGTGCCGCAAACCATACTGCCTGCAGCTGTAAGGGTCGGGTTTAGATCCTTTTTTTGGAATGGGTTGGACATGAGCAAATTTACAGTTTTCTAGGAAGGTGCCGGATTCATAAGATATCTGGAAGAGACGCGAAAGAACTGGAGCAAGCTCCGCTGAGCACCTCTTCAGTACGATGTCAGGAATCAGTTCCAGACCAGCTTTGTTGGGGAGCATCCATGTTGGAGTTGGCAGCAAAGATCTTGGCAAGCACTTCCGCCTTAGCCTTTGAGTCGGTTACAATCGTTCCATCCTGACTCGTAAGAGGTGGAAGGCTACTGTGTGAGAAGTTCTTTTCAATATGCTTGGCCAGCGTCCAGAAAGACCGACTGCCATTAGGCTGCGACATTACCTTACCAAATCAGACATATCCTCCATCCTTTTCATAGAAATTGTACAAAATCTTGTGAAGTTAGCGAGTTTTACTTTATACGTTGTCACCACTGCATCCCCACGGCTAGGCGACCTGTATGTTAAATTTTTGTTGATAGTGCAACGAATTATGCTATAAATTATATGCCACAGTTTTTATGCAATGACAGCAACGATTAGATGATGCCAAAAATAGTTTCATAAACAGGAGATCTTTCCCGTTCCGGATCTAACAATTTACCAAAATAGGTTATAATTATGATACCTAGTAAATTTTCATGGATAATCGGCTGTGCTTTGGTTTGTTTCTTTAAGATTTATTTCGCATGATTGCTACAATTACATTCTTCTAAAAAACTAGACAATTACATAACATACAGACATTCAGAAAAAAAACAAAATTTGCATTCCTAAGAATTTTCATTGTCCATGAAATATTCCTTTAATTTTCTTTTAAATATCTTTAAGTTATAAGTAGACTTTATATCATTATTTAGTTTATTAGTAATCCTTTCTGAAATATTGATTTGCTAGTTATATTACTATTCCAATTTTGTAAATGAAAATCTATATTTCCTCTTGCATAATAATTGTGGTAATGATTATTCAATTCTATGTAGTGTTCTAAATGTTCTGGCAAAATATGATTTTTCATTTTAAATATAAAAATGAGAATCAAATATGATATGAAATTTTTTATATTCAACCACTGCAATTCTTGTAAGTTAGATTTGATTTTGGTGTACTTATTTTTATTCAATATTATTCTCATAGCTTCATTTTGCAAGACTTGTAATTTTGAGAATACAGCTTCATTGGCAGTGAACAACATAGTTGAACAATATAATAAATGTGGTAGAATAATTATATTATAAACTATTTTCTTGGAATAGGTACCAAGACTATGAGAAGCCCTATAAAAGTAATTTGTTTTTTTGGCAATTTTTGAAATAATGTATTCATAGTCATTCTCAAACATTAGTTTACTATCAATATACAGGGTGACTTTGAAGTTGAGTCATTAATTTTCAGATAATGATTGTAGAAGGAAGATAAACCAAAATATGTGTGTAAAAATAAAAAAAAATAAAAAAAAATTTACCTTGTTTTATAAAGTATCCTCCCGACAAGTATTTCAGTGCGGACCTGTATTTGATCGTGAGGTCTTGGAGCACCGGCATGCCGTCCCCATGTGAGGTCTTAAGTCACCTGATTCACGAGCCCGTTGTACTACATTAACAAAGGCACGAGGGGTTGGTTGCACTCGATTGGGAAACCGATCCGCATAAACATGTGCCATTTTTTATTTCGTTTGAGCCACGCAACAGTCACCACTATTCACGCACGCGTTACCGACTGACACTGACTGTATACAACTGAATGAAACAATTGTAAAAACATCGTTCCAAATTCTTTCGCTTTTTTGTTTCCGATGCGATAAACCGATAAGGCGGATTATATCCGTTGTCGCCAAACACGAGCACATAATATTATTATTGAGACAGGGCAGTACTCAAACTTCCAAAGGGCTATAACTTTGTTACTTTAATTTTACCAGAAAAATGGTAAAGGAAAAAACATTTCTTTTGATCAGATCTACTCACTATTAAAATAAATGACTCAACTTCGAAGTATATACCTAAATATTTGTTTGATTCGACATTTTTTATTATTTCTCCATTTATCCTAACTGCGATAGTATTTTCATTCAGGTATTTCCCTATTGGCATACATTTTGTTTTAGAAGTATTCAATTTTAGTTTATTTAAATTTAAGCAATTTACGATAATCTAAAATAATACAATTGTATGAAATAGATAGTAGTGGACCTAGTTTACTACCTTGTGGTATACCAACAGAAATATTTTTTGATGTTGATAATGTAGATCCAA